GAAATGTTTCCCCTCATAGTGGATGCTTAAGCCCGCTCTCCGCGTGTGTGGCGAGCTAGCTGGATATCTCCACGTATGCGGCGAGCTAGCATATATTTTTTTTTTGACCAGAAATTACATGGCAAGACTACACTTTAAGTGATGGCTCAAGATAATTTTAAGCCGGGCGGTGGTGGTGCTCGCCTATAATCCCAGCATTCGGGAGGCAGGGGCAGGCGGAGTTATGAGTTCGAGGCCAGCCTGGTCTACAGAGTGAATTCCAGGACAGCCAGGACTACACAGAGAAACCCTGTCTCGAAAAACCAAAAAAAAAAAAATTTTTTTTCAAAAAAAATAATAAAAAAACCAATAATAATAATAATAATTTTAAAAGTAAGTACAACCAGGTCCCAAAAGTAGGTTCTTTCTTACATGATTTACAAGGTAAGCTTCTAAGAGGATTTACCTAAGTAATGATTTTCCTATGGAAAACAAACCTGAAAGCTAATGTTAACATGCATGCCATGCCCTCTTGGTCCTCTTAAAGATGATAAACATGGAAAAGGGTGTCTCGGAGGGAGGCTGGGCTGTGACTCGGACTACATTCTCATGCTCATCTCCAGCACCTCCTCCAGCTGCTTAGAAACCTGAGTCAATGAAAACATGCAGAGGTCCACTTCCCAAATGCATGCACATAACTGTTCATATCAACACTATTCGTAACCCGATAGCGACAAACAAGAAATAGCCCCTAACATCCATCAACAGGTCAAATGGATAGATGGAGACCCAAGATATAAATATTGGACTGCAGAGACCAGATACATGAAGCACGTGAGTGACACTGGAAACGACAAGGCAAAGGGGCACACACACACACACACACACACACACACACACACACACACGGACCTGGTGAGGAGGGGAGCATCTATCTCACGCCTCTTTACTTAATTCACCAATGAATACTGCTGGGAGCCATCAGTGGGGAAGGGAGGGAAGCTGTGACGGCATCCATGTGTACTGATCAGACCTTGGTGCATATCCTAGAGCAAACAAGCGACACTGCTCTGCACCCTTGCATCAAATTCCCCCTCCTCACAATTTGTCAAGGTTTCTCTGTGTGCTCGAAAGAAAGAAAGAAAATTAAAAGACACACGTGCACAAGCACAAGCTGTACACATGACATGCCCTTGAACATAGGGAGGGACAGCATGCCATCCTGTCACTTCTCAGCAAGGCTACTTATTCAGCACTGGTACAACCCAGGCCACGGCATAATGCTCATGACAACACAGGCCATGGTATACTGATCATGACTTCTCTCTCTTCCTTATTTCTCCATTCATGACAAAGGTTAACTAGCAACTGTGGATTCAGTATTTATTTGCTGACTACTAGGATGCTACAAAGACCCTCTTTAAAACACTAAAAATGTCACACCAAAATACAAAGAGCTTGTCCTTTTAAGCCTTGCCCTGAGAAAACATAAATCCCCTTAGAGTACTCAGTGATTAATGGCTCATTCTGCCCTCCCGCCCTCATCCTATTGAGAAGTAGTATCTGTTTCGATTCCCAGCACCAACAACCAAGCCACCATCAGGAGAAATGATGTCTGGGTTGTTTAGTGAGTAATTGCTACCATTTTCCTAGCCATGATTACTATTCCTCTCTTCACCGCACGTTCCATACCACAACCTCCAAAAGTGCTACAGCTAGAACAAAGCAAAAGAAGTGAAAAGATGAAAAGATAAGTTTTGCCATTAACTGTTCCGTTTGCTTTATTACACTAAAAGAGAGTAAACCAAAACTGTGTCTAACAGCATTATTACAATGCTAACAAATCAACATGCTCACTTATTCAGTAAGAACTCAATTCTACAAAAGACGGATTTGTAGTGGGATTTATTCCTGGACCCTCCAGAGGACTCTTAACAGGCCACAGGACACATCACTTGTTTTTAACTTAACATTCATTCAGTAATATTCTCTGTTGTTAATCTTTAAAGAAGTAAGCTGAATACTTTTTCTCTCTTCAAAATACAACATGCAAAACTAAACTGTAGCTGAGCTGCATTAATCCTGGCCTGTGAGCAGCCTTCCTAAATGGAGCACATGGACTACACAGCTCTTCTACTGAGGTACTTCTTATAGGTCTCCACTATTTCATCTGAGCTAAACGCCTAACTTCAAAACTATTTTCAAGAACTATTGTGATCGGTTAGTAGACTCCATTATAATTTTACTTTGCACTAGTTTTATTTTCAAGGAAGCAGTCCTCAAAAGTCTACAAAATTAAGTTAATGTTTTATAGTGATTTTCCTATTTTAGAAAAAGTATATGAACAAAAGGATCCAGCCAATAAGAGTAGCTTTCCCAAGACAGCTTTTTCCACATAATAGGATAAAGTGTAAGGTGAAAGGGTTCCTGAAGATATCCCAGCACAGACTCCACACTTACTACACTCCGTATTCAGAAGCACTGCCCCTGCCAAGAGTGCTCTCAGGAGACCCCTCTACACTACAGGGACAGGGTACAGGAATGATGCCTTCTGGTGCCACACAGCTTCTCCCTCTGTGGAAAAAGAAACCAGGCTGCTTTGCCCAACCTACTGATAGGCATCTGGAGACTGCTGCAACCCAAGAAAATCTCAAAGACCTTAGGCGACCATGCATAAAACTGCAACCCATTTATTTATTTTTCTCTGTTCTAAAACCATGTCATTTTTTTAAGAGATCAGAGAGAGTATTTTAGAAATATGATAAGTGATTAACAGTAACTGACAATGTGACAAATGCTATCATGATATTATAAGGTATTACATCCACATCGTAGGCAAGACACAGATATTAGATAATGAACTTTTTACACCTGAGATTATTCTTTTACAGATTTTTTTTTAAATTAGCAATTCTCAACCTGTAAGTTACTAGCTCTTTTCAGAGAGATCACTCAAGACCATCGGAAAACACAGATATTTACATTATAATTCTTAACAGCAAAATTACAGTTATAAAGTAGTGGCAAAAATGTTATGGTTGGAGTCACCACAACATGAGGAACTGTATCGAAGGGGCACAGCATTAGAATTGAGAACCACTCTTTTAAATAAATTAAAAAATCAAATGATACAGCTTTTAATGAAATGGAGAGGAAAGGGGCATTTTGTTTTAAAATATTTAAATTAATTAAACAGCGATTATGCTTAAAAAATTTTGAATTGATGTATAAATCATACTCACCACCTAAGTGAGACTATCACATCTGCTTAATATAACTCTGAAACCAGTAAGGCGAGCTCCAGCACACCCTTGCACAAAGTTACCCGCATCAGCAATTGGTCTCTGAGCTTTGTAATTATGACAACAGGTACTCTCTTCTCTTTCAAATAACCACAAGAGCCCAAGTAAGTAAAGTCATGAAAATACTATAGAGTAGGTTTTCATAGAATGAGTTTTGAGAAAGAAAGAAAAAAATTAACTTGTTTTTAAGAGATATTCATCTTCTGTGTTCACCCCTCAGTTTACCAATAAAGAACTCCCACTATCCCAGAAGGATGAATAGTTATTGTGATCCTTTCATTAAGTACACTGCTAGGACGACACTCTAACACTGCAGCTGATGCTTGAACAGCTATGCTTATTGTTCCCATCAGCACCAGGTTTTTGACAGGATATTCCCAAGGCTGAAGAGTCCTTTTGTAGCTCAACAAACAGAACAATTGAAATCAGGTGGCTAGCCACAAACCAGAAGTTACAAGGGTCAAGAAAAATAAGCACAAAACTTCTTAGTTACTTTTTATTTTCAGTCTCTAGAGAATGTAGTTACATCTTCATTTGTAACCAAAGTTGCAATCAGAAGCATTTCACCTAACAATACACTAAAAAGTCAATATAGTTTCTTTGCCTTCAGAGCATGTCCTCCTGAAACTAACACACATTTTGCCATGGAGGATCAGCTAGTTTCTGGTTTGGTTTTTACAATATTTTTCCTGTATCATTTCTTTACCACAGCAATTTTCCACATTATTTTCCTAAATTTTCAATCTGTGAACAACAAGGTCCTAAAAATTAGCCCTAGAAAAGATAAATCAACATGTCTTAAATATAGCTGTCTACATTAACTATAAATTGATAGGATAAGAAAAAGAAAAGGTAATCAGCAACTGTTAGCCTAAGAACCTCAATTTCAAACATTTTGAATACATATTGTATACTCAAAATTCAATAAATAGAAGTGAACACAGAATTTACTTATCAAAATAGGGATCTTCAGTCTCATTTTTTACAGGAGATAAAAATATCTTAATTTTGCTTGTAAGGCAAAACAGTAATTTTCATGAACCATCTCCTTACAGGTATAATCATATGAATGACAGATAAAATAATTGCTTTAAAAATACTTCTGAGTCATTTTATCCTTACCTGCAGGCATGAACCATTACTGCATGCAGTGGCTGTTCCACTGCCTAGCAGAGACTTGAAGAAACATCACATCTCTTTTTCAGAATGTGACTAATCTGTGGGTTTGCAATTCCTAAGCTATGTACAAATGGCACTCCCTTTATTCATTAAAATAAAATATATATATATACTTATTACAGGAAAAAATCAACTATGTTTAAGCTAGATATTTACAGATATCCTTGGAAATTCTATATACCAGCAACCTCAAAATATAAGAACAAAAATTTCATAATAAATCCTTTAAAAAGCAAGATTTTTGTGGGGGGGGTTAAATTATTTTTTAAGCTTTCAGCAGCTGCCACATTTGAGCCAGCGGTCTGCTGTGTTATGGTGCGCATGCTGCAGCTGATTAGACTGACTGTTTTTCTAAAAAAAAAAATCAATTTCCCTTCGCAAAGCAGAACTGCTTGCCCAAATACACATCTTCAACACAGCACAACGCCAGCATGCAGTACAATACGTTACATAGCAAATTTGACAAGGAAAAAGATAAGTCCTGTTTGTTTCTTAGCAATGCTACACCATTAATTGTTCATGCAAGAGCTGTAGCTGTACCTTTCTGAAGAGGACGACTTCTCAGAGTTAACTGACATCAGCAGCTCAATCTTCTGCTTGATTTCTGGAAAAATCAGAAAATATTCACAACCAAGATTGCCCGCCCTTGCTTACAAGCCTTATATCAAGAGATTTTTCTTCCCTAATCCCTTTTGTTCAAAATGAGGCCACAAGATTCGCAGTACTTCTGTTAGGACTCGGATTCAATGGTGCTATAAAGGGAAACCGCTCCAGAGGCACCAGGCCTTGCTAAACTATGCACATGACTGTTTATGAAAGCAGGAAGTACCACTTCTTTTAAGCAGAGGGGTGTCCTTTTTTTTTTAAGGTAGAACTACCTGGGTTTTACTAAAAAATTTCAAACTGAACAAGTTATGAAACAAATATGAAATGCTAGCATCTAAACTCAATATACTAAATAATTTGAGAAGCCTAAATTATAATGTTTCAATCTGTAATAAACAGATATGCAACCCCTGGCTGCTTCTATTTGATTAGCCCCAAAAAATATGGCTCAGTGAATCATTTCTGTCACTTAAGAATGAAATATTAAACCCAAACCCCAATTCAATGATTAAAATGTTATAATTTCCTGATTGTTTTTAATTAAATTTAACATCCAGGCCCTAACACTTTCAGAAAGAGACTTCTTTTCACCGTAGTCTCCCCTCCTTCACAGCACACAAGTGAACAGCAACACCCAGGGACTGAGCAGAGATGATATTCTTGTCCTTTTAGGAAGGACTGGCAATGCCACCTACATCAGAAATTGAAGTGCAACTTCAATTTAATTAAAAGATGTTTGCTGGAACCAAGCTGGATAGAAGAACTTAAAGGGAAGAATGAAAAGACTACAGCAAAGGCAAAGCCATGGGAAATATAGCAAACTGCCTTTAGCCACACCAGTAACTTAGTCAAAGGCTGGCAACCTCAACTGTGGAAAGCCCATATCCTTACTTCATTGGAAATGCTATTTTGTCTATTCCTAAAAAGTACTTTCACTGTATTTTTTTAAATTACAGTATATGTTTATAATAAAAAGTCCACATACTAAAATTGAAACTGTTATCACTGAAAAACTATAAGATCTAAGAATTTCTAAGCAGACCTCAATAACGTGGGGGAGGGTAAGCAAGCATACATGCATGCATATGTGTGTATTTCCTAGAAATAAGACAATGTTTTAAAATGCAGACTACATTAATAAAATTAAAATATGAAAAATTCAAGGAAAAATTAAAAAATAAAAGTAGGAAAATTCTCTCTCGGTGTTAAGGGAATTTCCTAACTTACGCATATATCCTCATCCTCTAGACATAATACAATTAGCTAAGCTGCTGCAGTAATCAGACTTACCGTGAGGGTTCTGAGGGAGAGTTCTGAGTAAGGGTTCTGAGGAGCTACCGTCAAACTGTTCAGTAAAGGTTCCCCTCATTTCAAAAGAACTGTCTCTGCGTGGGACTAGAAACACTTCTTCATTTTCAAAAACCATGGGACCTTCAGGAAACTGCCTATACTCTCTAAAGCCTGTATTTCCTCATCTATAAAGTGGAGATAAGTATTTGTACTTGTGGAGAATTAGTTAAATAAGCCCAAGAGACTCAGGCCATGGCACGTGGTGCTCCATCCCTCCGGGCCTGTTCCCCTCTGGCTGCAAAGCAGTTCTCTTCAATACACACTTACTAAAGGCGTTAATGGGGCACAGGCCTGTCCACCTCCCTAGTGTTCCCATAATGTTAAACCCACTTTCTTCTCCCTTTCATTATCAGCTTCAATATGAACTTTTTTAATCAGCATGTTATTGCATGCAGAGGTTAACTACCCTGTATCTCAAGCTCCCTATAGTTTTTGACTAGATGTTTCAGAATGAAATTGTACTTGACCATTTTATTGAAAAAAGATTTTTTTAATTCTTTAATATAAAAAACCTTTACGGTAAACACCATGTTAAGTCTGTGAAGCCGCACAGGGTTGTAGTGATGCAGGAGAGTTTCCAATGCTCCTTTCATAGTCTCTCCAAATCATCACATTTGTTTACTTCTAGAAACAGTGAACCATTCGGGATGGACTCAATCACTGTCAGTGTTGCACCTGACGAGCCCTGCATGTCTTCCCGTCTAAGACACTGCCTACGTGTCCTAATGCATTCCCACTGCTAGGCCTGCTTACCTTTTGTTTTGTTTTGTTTTTTTAAGATTTATTTAAAAAAAAAAAAAAAAGTCGGGTGGTGGTGGTGCACGCCTTTAATCCCAGCACTTGGGAGGCAGAGGCAGGCGGATTTCTGAGTTCAAGCCAGCCTGGTCTACAGATTGAGTTCCAGGACAGCCAGGGCTACACAGAGAAACCCTGTCTTGAAAAACAAAAAAACAAAAAAACAAAAAAAACAAAAAGATTTATCTTATTTATATGAGTACACTGTAGCTGTCTTCAGTCACACCAGAAGAGGGCATCAGATCCCATTACAGATGGTTGTGAGCCACCATGTGGTTACTGGGAATTGAACTCAGGACCTCTGGAAGAGCAGTCAGTGTTCTTAACCGCTCGCTGAGCCATCTCCCCAGCCCCTGGTAACTTTTAAGAATTCCAAAAACAGCCCTGCACCATGACAGCCGCTGCTGTTAATTCCAGCACTTGGTAGTCAGAGGCAGGTAGATCTTCATGGGTTCAAGGACAGCCTGGTCTATAGAGCAAGTTTCCAGGGCTGTTACACAGAAAAATCTGTTGGGGGGCTGGGGGAGAGATTCAAAACAAAGAAACCTCCCTCCCAGGGGAGTACCTTTTCTGCAATGAAGCGGCTCCTCCTTTTACTCTCAGTCTTCTGAACATCAGGGCAGATCTCCCCACACCAACTGTCACTCGGCTGCTTACCTTTACCAGCTTTCCTGTCCTACTTCAAAACAGTGTTCCTCAAGCATCTTTGTAAATTTAATTTCATCTATAAAATGGTTTAAACATCCAATGTGCTTTTACCGTCACCTTTACAACACTATGCCCCACTCCACCCCCACAACTCACTAGGCCCTCTTCATTACCACTGGGCTTCTTGGTTCTCAAAAAAAAAAAAAAGGCAGCCTTACAGCCTTGCAGACACCTATTCTTTCAACCATCAGGCTCCTTTTGTATTTCTACACTAATAGTTTGTTTTTAAAGTTCATCACCTAGGGGCTGGCCTGAGGGCTGAACAGATAAGGCAGCAGCCTTGAAAGCTGACCACCCAGTTGAATCCTCAGGGCCCACATAGTAGAGAGAATAAATTCTAGAACTTCCTTTGTAATTTCCACATACAAACCATGGCAGACACACAACACCATGAATACAAAATGGACAAATGAAAATATAATTGTAAAAACTTAAAAAACAAAGTCTGTCAACCAATTGCTTTCCTTCAGGTTTTATCTACATCCCCTGTTATCCATCTACCACACGGGTGTACTCAAAATGCTCAATGGTCTTACAATCTGCTCCTTACATCTCTGAACCTTTAACCCAGCCTTTGGCATGACCCCAAAATGCTACTTCTACTCATACCATAAACTATGCTTCTTTACTTCACAGAGAAAATAAGTACTTATTTTAATTTCTATACAAAATCATAGGGGGATGTAAGTTTCACTGTCTTGTCCATTCTCCAAAGCAGTGGGGTCAGACTTTGTTTATTCTTTAACTGCTCTCACGCATGTAATTCTCTGCAATTCTAAGTCCTTCATGGCATCATCACTTCCCACACAATTCTTACACATTGGTGATACCTACAGAACCTTCACCATTCAAACATGTCTGTACCCTACTGGGGCACTACTAATTAGCATATGAATTATCAGTCCGTTAATGCCTCATGCAATCCAAATCCATACATTCTCCAATCTCCCCTGATAGTTTCCACTAAATAATCACCAAATGTATACAATATCTAAAACTGAACTCAGCAACTGCTTGACCCCATGTCTACTTTATCTCAGGCCTAGAGTTTGCCGTCTCCTACTCCATCCCACAGCACAGACCCTTTACAGTCTAACTCTGGGTACAACAGGACCCATCTTCCAAGACACCAATTTTTGAGGACTCCCGAATGCATTCCACTTTCTCGCTTAGGAATAACTCCTACAGTCTCCCTTTTAGACATGCTACATCCTCTGGAGGACTAAGCTCTGCTGGTCTGTCTTCTCACCTACCTTCTTTCTCACAGTTTTTCTTTCCTTGGAACATCACAGGACAGTTCATCTCTCACCTATGTAACCCACTAGCTTGTTGTTTATCTGTTTTTCATTTTCTTTTTTCTAAAACAGGAGTGTGTGTGTGTGTGTGTGTGTGTGTGTGTGTGTGTGTGTTTGTCCCTTATCTGTCCTGAAACCAGCTCTATACGCCAGGCTGGCCTCAAACTCACACAGACATCCCACCAGAGTGCTGGAATTAAAGGTGTGTGTCACCACGCCCAGCTCCACAACTCACTTTTTCAATCTGGGCCACAAACTCCTCCCTAACTTATCTTCCAAGATAGAATTAAATTAATCTCTTTGTGTCTCTATATACTGCACACACTTGTATACAATTACTAATGTGTAATTTTCCATTTGACATTCCATGAAACTAAAGTTACCTTAAGGACAAGGACTTGATATTTTTCTTAAGTTCATGCAGAGCCAGTCATATCATATTAGACTTACTAACCACCACTTTTATAATTGGATTAGCCTCATCTAGTCAGCACATTAGTGCATATGTAGCTAAACTGCATCTGTTTATAACAGAAAATCTAAAAGAGAAAGAGTGGTTCAAGTTGATCACCCTCCTCACTTTCTCCAAAACATTACCTTTTGGTACCTACAATCTCCCAGATTCAAGCATCCAAAGTTCACCATTTAGTCCTCATTTTTAGAAAAAATACGGGATAAGGGTGTTTGCATACATACACACACGAGAACTCAGGTCCCCGAGAGAGCCAGAGGTGTAAGAACTCCTTGGCACTTGGGAGCTGACTAATACGGTGTGAAAAACTGAACTCAGGCTCTCTGCAGCAGCAGTGTGTGGTCTCAGGAACTGAACTCAGGTTCTCTGCAACAGCAA